ATGAGCCCATGATTTACTCACCCTCAGGGCATCCTAGGTGTATCTGACATTCCTCTTTCAGACTAACACAATCGCAGTTATATTTAAAATTGTCCTGGCTCTTCCAAGCTGTATCATAACAGTGAATGGTGCCCCTGTTTTTGAAGCCCAAAAAAGTGTATCCATCCATCATAAAACTACTCCACACGGCTCTGGGGTGTTAATAAAGGCCTTTTGAAGCATAACGATGCACACATCCTGATGAACAATCCCTTTAAGTGAAAATAAACAGTTTGAAAAGTAATTGAATGCCTGTATCTGTGCATTCCGTGACAGCATCCTACTGTATAAACCTGCTGCTGTCTGTCATCATCTGTTAATCAAACAAAATAAAATGACATAATTATTCACTGCTCTTCACTGAATATTGTATAACATTGTTATGAATAAATGTATGTTTAATTTATATGGTGAAGTCTTTGCAGTGCTTTATTTTTACATTTGATTACTTGGTCACACATTATATTAGGTGGCCTTAACGCACTTTGTAATAATGTAAAATTAAAAGATTTATTTTAAAATGTAAAATTTTAAATCATTATGTTATAATAAGCTTTTGTCATGAAGTACACTTATTTTGATGTGTTGACTAGCATTTAAAGCACATATAGTGTGCTTTAACTATAGTGTGTTATTCAGTATTACATTCAAATAGCAATCATTACAAATGTGTAAATGCGAATTTATTTGAACACATGAAATGCATGTTTCAATAGAAATTACAATGCATATATATATATATATATATATATATATATACTTTTTTACTTATTGTACACTCTGAAGTACAGCTAATTGCATTCAATATAAATGCAAACTATAATACATTTTAATTTAATTGAAGTTAACATGCAATTAAGTATCCGATTGTCATGGTAGGTCAGGGAAAACAAGGAGACTGGATCTAAGTGCAGCGTAAACTTTTTAATAAACAAAAATAACGTGGATAATCCACTTGGAATACAACCAAAACGCAGGAGCAAAATGTGGCAGTAAACAATAACACAATACAAGGAACTCAAACCAAGGGCAGTATAATAATCAACGGTTTACAGTATTTTGCAGTTACATTGAGTAAATCAATTAAATATTGAGGGTTGTGGTCAGTAATAAAGTACAAGGTCAGCAGCATTTCTGTTCAACATTTAGCAGAGATATGACACTGGTATCTTCTACAAGATATTTGCATTTGCTCATGGACACGTATTTATTTTATTTTATTTTCTGTAATTTTTTTAGGGTTGTTCCTTAGAGTTTAGATTTACATTAGCTAACGTTTGCCTCACTAAACATGGAAGGAGGGTTTTGAATCAATTTGAGTGAGAGATTGACTCTGAACCTAATGTATTTATTTATTTATTTTTACTTTAGGGTAAGCAGTTGGACTGTTGCCACATATCCAGAACCCGAAAGCTTTTGCAAGTCGAAGTGAATTCATTTCACACTCAATTGGCACTGCAGGGCTGCTGAGATCTACTTATTGAAGATCTGCTCCTGAAAGTGAGTCAGTAGGAAAAGTTTACATACCACTTTTCATTGGACTAGGTCATCGAGGACAGACAGACAGACATAGATAGATAGATAGATAGATAGATAGATAGATTCACATACTCACAGAAAACTTTCAAAGACTTGCAAGACAGTGCATGAATCAAAATGACTTGATTTATGACATTTTTGGCATCTTTAATGTTCTTTTAAAAGCTTCCATTATTTCAGTAATTGCATGAAAAACATACAAAATAAAAAAATAAAATAAAATAAAATAAATAAATAAATAAATAATAAAAAAAATAATAATAAAATAAAATAAAATAAAATAAAACCAACACTGATAATAATAAGAACCATTAACAACTGAGCACCAATTATATTTGAATAGCAAATCAGCATTATATAGACGGGACTAATGAGTCTGAAAATTCAGCAATAAATTACATTTACTATATATTCACATATAAAACACTTATTTTAAATTTGAATAATATTTCACAATATTCCTGTTTTTACTGTAATTTTGTAATAATAATAATAATAATAATAATACAACTCTTAATTATTGCAAAATTTGAGTACTTGTAGTGTATGCTAACAGTGGCTCATTTACTGACAGTGCTGTTTGTATTATTAGTTGTATTGCATCTGTTGCTGTCTGTCCTGGAGCTGCTTCGTCAGCGCGTCAGGGTGTGTGTGACCCCCCATCACCCCCGAGCGTCTCATCAGAACCACGGCTCTGCTGACGCCGCACTGGAGGCGAACAGATGGGCAGCGTTCAGCAGACATCACGACGGCACAGGAGGACGCCTCAGACAGCACGCTCGCCTAATGAGAGTGTTTGAATCACCACCATGCTTAAGAAAGTAACAAATGAAGGTTACAGTATGTTTAAGCAAAACCGACAACTTTGGTACTAATTCTAGAATGATCTGAGTCACATGATCCTTCAGAAATCATTCTAATATGCTGATTTGCTGGTCAATACACATTTTTTTACTATTATCAGTGTTGAAAACTGCTGCTTCATATACACTTCATATACAAAAATATATTTCTGAATAATAAAAACTGGCTCTACATCACAAAATTTTTGGTACGTGGAAATATTTTTGCTTATTAGATATAACCAACTTCTTTTTTTCCCAGGGTCTCTTTTGATTTGGCAGCATTTCCCACTTGAACAAAGAGCATTTGAAATGTCTTATTTAGGTGAATTGATACAGCGTTCATCATGCAAACATCACTATGCGGATAACAACAAACCCTTTAAAAAACAAAACAGAAGTTTTTATTTGTTTGTTTTTTTTTCCCCCACAAATTACTGAAATTTAATTTTCACCAGCCATAAATGAGGACTATACGGTTCCTGCGAAAACAGGATTCCTTCTCCATGCCAGATCTAAATCTGTTTTATTAAGATTCAAATGTGCAGTTGACGCCAGTTGGGCCTGCGGGAGATTTAATTAAGATTATGAGGCCAACTGGGAGGTTATAAAGAACAAACAAACTATATCAGACTCATCTGCCTTTATCCCTTGAAAATAATAGTATTATTGACAATCGCTGCATGCAAAGAGAAAATGTCACAAAGCAAAATAAACAACCACACCAAAAAATTCTGAATACCAGAAGTGAATTTAGATTGAGTCACAATTTGCTGTTCCTGATCCTGTAATAAAATCTGTATTTTAATCTAAATGAAAATCTCTTATTTGTTTTTGAAGTTACATAGGAGAACACACTGCCTTTAAGTCCTGCTTACCAGGTTGGAAATCATAATTATGATTAGGTATCTAATTGATGCTTAATTTGTGGATTTGATTATTTTCATGCTGCCAGAGATAATGATAGGAAATGTAGTTTTGTCTTTGCATGTTGCATTATAAACCTAAAAGTGTGGTCTTTTCTGCCAGGCTTTCTTTTTCTGGAATAGCATTCTCGATATTGTTCGGGGTTCAGACACACTCTCTCTGTTTAAATCTGGATTAAAGACACATCTCCTTAGCCAATAATTCACATAATGCATCTCATAACCTTGTACTCCAGTTATATCTGATTAAATGCACATGATTATCTTTTGCTTGGACAGCAGCTATGCTAATTATTCTCCATTTGCTTTTCTTTTTTTGCCTCAGGATTGGATCCAAGCTCTTATGAAGATTTGACATGACCCAGCACCTGAGAAGAGATGATGCCAACCCCTTTAAGGACCTCAGATAATGCCAACTAAATAAATAAATATACACAAGTGACAACATTTCCCTATATTGTAATAATTACGATCACAACATGTAATCATTGCTTTAATGTGTTCATTGTTTCTGCTTAAATGAATATGTGGCATTAACTAACTGCATGATTTGTATATGTACATTTCTGTATTTTGGACATTAATTTGACAGACACCTCTGATAACGTTAGTTTTAACTGTAATGTAGAAACATTCATTTTCTGTAAAGCTGGTTTGAAACCATATGTATTGTAAAAAACACTATACATATAAATGTGAATTGAATTGCCGTGTATCAGCACTCTTCCACAGTGCACAAAATAATAACTTTAAAGTCAACATTCACAATTACAGCTTAAATATCATCAAAACATCATTATTTAACTAAATGTTTATGTTTATGCCATTCATCATCATTCTGCATACAGAAATATACAGCGAGGTGTACCTTTGACAGGAACCTACTTCAAAATCAAATTATTCTAAAAATGTCTCCGATTAACCTTTCTGCTGATCTTTACCCGTGAAGATGTTCTTCATTTAAGATATAGAGAAATTATATTAAACACATTTCAACCTAGGCACAATGGAAAAACTGTAGTGACATATCCGCAAAATGATATTAAAGGGATATTCACCTAAAAATGAAATGTTCACCATAATTTAGTCACCTCAAGCGGTTCCAAAACTGTATGAGTTTCTTTCTTCTCTCGAAGACAAAATAATATGTTTTTAAGAATGTTTGTAAAGGCCGGGACACACCAAACCGACGGTCGGCCATTGGCCAACGATGGGCCGACGGCGAGCGACGGTCCGGCTAGTTTGTTTGGTGTGTTCCACTCGTCGTGGAGGAAAAAATCATATAGGTTTGGAAAAACATTTATTTTTTTTTTTGGCTGAACTGAAGTTGCTGAACTTAATACAGGAGGGAATAGACCCCATCGGGCCTGGCATGGGTTAGCTAACCATGCCGGCAGGATCCGTCACTACATAGTGCAGAGGGTCCACACATCTTTGGCTATGAAAACCACAAGAAGAAGAATACGGCGAGCGACGGTCGGGCTAGTTTGTTTGGTGTGTTCCACTCGTCGGCTCTCGTCGGGCTCACGTCGGCGGCAGTTTGCCCGATTCAACATGTTGCATCTGGGCCGTCGGCGCGAGTGAGAGCTCTGATTGGATGTTCAGTTTAGCGAACGAGTCAGTGCCCGAGAATTAAAGCGAAAGTGATGAAAACAAGCATGTAAATTAAGGCGGTACAGACAGAAAGCTGCTTAAATGTTACGTGATCTTTCCCAATCATTCTAATACGCGAATGTTTTCATAACAACATGAGCCGCTTAAAATGATTAAAGTTATCAACGTTACTGATATTCAAAATGTTAAGCAAGTGCTGCTTTGTTTACGTTTTGTATATCTGCGTTTATCTCATATATCTTTGTTTCGGTTTTTCCTTTTGAATGATGAATATATACTATTGATAGCTGCTGATATAGACAGTTAATTCCTCTTACGCATGCGCAGAAAGCACGTGTTAGTTTGCCGTCGGCTGTAGTCTATGCGGTGTGTTCGAGTGCAGCTTTTTGGTCCGATGCTGCCGACGTGAGGCAACAACACCGTCGGCTTTCGTCGCCGCTACGGAAATGACAATGAGCCAGGAGAACAGCACAACAGAGGTTGGAACAATAGGACTGACAGGGACAGGACAAAAACTACAGAGATGCGGCTGGGCGAAGATAACATCAGAGAAGGGTCTTAAAATCCATCAAGGCAGGAAGAAGTGCCTGAGAGAGCTTAGTGAGGGGCCTCGCATTGACCAATACTTCCTGGCCGTGGCCGTGGCCACGTCACGGCCACGTCACGTCACTTCTTAGAGGTTGGGCAAATTAGTCGTGTGAAGCCCAGTGGCGGAACAAACACCACAGTCCACAGGGTATCAGAACCTCAGACAAAGCCCAACCAGGCACAAACTCACCCCCACTGACTAACCCATAAGCCACCCAGCCACAGCCAACAGTAGAAACGAAGATGGATGGAAGGAGACCTCAGATACTTTGGCCTAAATCCTGCCACAACGAGAGGGCAACTATTGACACAGATCTCGTGCAGCTGCTAGAAGGCCTGAAAGGAGACGTAGAAAGGAAACGATGGGGGTGATTATCTACACCTATTGGGCACAAAGGTTTGGAGTGAAAAACAAGAGGCCGAGGTCACAGAAGGAGCTGGGAGGCCAGCCGAAGTCCAGGAGACAACATGAGATTGACAAACTTGTGAAAGAAAGGAGGAGCCTGAGAAAACAGTGGAAGAAGGCCACTGAAGCAGAAAGGAAATGCCTAGAGGTACTACAGGACGATATCAATCGCCTTGCAACGCTACGAAGAGCAGAAAGCTTGAGAAAGCAATGAAAGAAGAAGGAGCAAACCAGGACTGCCTTCTATAGAGATCCTTACAAGTTTGTCAGTAGTCTCTTTAGCAAGGAGAAAACCAGTACCCTTAAAGTACCCATAGCGGATCTTGAGGAACACTTGAGGAAGACTTATTCTGACAATCAGAGGTACATGCCAATCTACATTCCAGAAGACATGCCACCAATTCAACTGCCGGAGCACCAGATGGACATAAGGCCTCCTAAATGGAGTGAAGTTGAGAGTGCGGTAAAGCGGTCAAGATCACCATCATCCACTGGACCCAACGGTTTTCCAAACAAGCTCTACAAGAATGCCCCAGGAGTTTTGAGGTACCTTTGGAGATTAATGATAGTGGCATGGAAAAAGCAGGTGATACCAAAAGCCTGGAGAAGGGCTGGAGGGATTTTAATCCCCAAGGAAAATAATTTGGCAACTATTGACCAGTTTCGTCAAATTAGCGTCCTAAATGTGGAAGGTAAGATTTTCTTTAGCGTTGTGGCGCAGAGACTGTCAGCGTTCCTGAAGAACAACAACTTGCTAAAAACATGCTAACATGATTTGGCACCAGTTGCAAATGGCTAAAAAGGAGAAGAAAGACCGACATGTGATGTTCTTAGATCTTGCCAATGCCTTTGGGACAGTGCCACATAAGCTGCTGTGGGCAGCATTCAATTTCTTACATTTTCCAGAACAGATAACAAAGTTGATTAAAGCCTACTTTCGGGATCTTGAGGTCTGTATTACCATACAGGATAGTACCACCACCTGGCAGCAGCTAGAGGTTGGCATAATGGCAGGTTGTACCATCTCTCCACTGGCATTCACTATGGCAATGGAAAACAGGCATCCTGTTGGGTGGTTGGAGGGGAACGTTTGAAAAATGGGTTGCGGCTCTCTCCAATCAGGGCATACATGGATGATATATGACTACCGTCACAATGACCAAAGCATGTACTAAGCGGCTGCTGGATAAGCTCCAGGAAAACATCAGATGGGCACAAATAATTTATAATAATAATAGTAATTTATGCATTTAGCAGACGTTTTTATCCAAAGCGACTTACAGTGCATTCAGGCTATACATTTTTTATCAGTATGTACAAATGGAGATTAAACCCAGAAAGTCTCGCAGCATCTACATTGTCAAAGGCCGACTTACTAATGGCAGGTTCTGTATAGCGGGAGAGCCCATACCAACGGTCATGGAAAAGCCCATCAAAAGCCTTGGACGTTGGTACACCACAGACCTTAAAGACTTAAAACAGGTGGAACAACTCAGGCAAGATACAGTCAGTGGACTCAAGAGAATCAATGGTACAGCTCTTCCTGGGAAGTTGAAGCTGTGTTGCTTCCAATTTGGTTTGTTGCCACGGCTTATGTGGCCAATTTCGTATACGAGCTCACTTTATCTCACGCCAAGCACCTGGAGAGACTGGTGAGTACACAGTTGATGAAATGGATTGGACTACCAAGATGCCTTAGCAGCATAGGGCTGTATGGCAATGGAGCTCTCTCTCTTCCTATTTCAAGCCTTGTGGAAGAGTACAAATGCGTCAAAACGAGGCTGGAGATGACGCTTAAAGAATGCCGCGATCCCTGCGTAAGAGATGCTGCTCCAACATTGGCAACAGGGAGGAAATGGAATCCAGTTACAGCAGTCACTGATGCAAAGGCAGCCCTCAGACACCAGGATATTGTGGGACAAGTCCAATATGGTAAAGGGGGACTTGGGTTGGGAATAATAACACCTAAATGGCAAAAGGCAACAGCAAAGGAACAGCGACACCTGGTGGTGGAGGAGGTACGCTGTCAGGAGGAAGCAACTAGGTGCACTAGAGCAGTCTCCCAAGCCCAACAAGGCAGCTGGATGAGGTGGGAAGGTATAGAACGGCGTACAATCACTTGGAGTGAGCTGTGGAACATGGAAACCAACAGGCTAAGTTTTATCGTGAGAGCCACATATGAAGTGCTGCCCTCTCCAACAAACTTGCAGGTATGGTGTGGACAAGACTCAGCCTGCCACCTGTGTGCAGCCCTGGTAAACCTCAGACATATCCTGGTGGGTTGCAGTGTTAATTTTGAAAGGTATTTTTGATTTAGTCTTAGTCTTTATCTTGAGACAAAAATTCTTAATAGTCTTAGTCACATTTTAATTATTTGAGTCTTTCATAGTTTTAGTCTAGTTTTAGTCAACGAAACGTCATAGCATTTTTGTAAACTTTTAGTTATTATTTTTAGTCAAACTGCAGTTACCAACATTTATTTTGGTAGCTATTTTATAAAGCACCACCTGAGAATGAATTTGCTTTTGTTAACCGAAAAACATTTTTGGTCAGTGAATGTCCAAATCATATGTGATGGGTTGCAGTGTTAATTTTGAAAGGTATTTTTGATTTAGTCTTAGTCTTTATCTTGAGACAAAAATTCTTAATAGTCTTAGTCACATTTTAATTATTTGAGTCTTTCATAGTTTTAGTCTAGTTTTAGTCAACGAAACGTCATAGCATTTTTGTAAACTTTTAGTTATTATTTTTAGTCAAACTGCAGTTACCAACATTTATTTTGGTAGCTATTTTATATGTAGTCTTCAAACAAAAATAGTCATTAATTCTTCTCTCTTTAGACCAAATCAATTAAGCTTATGAGAATTTTGAATCAAGGATTGAATTTGGAAAAACTTGAATAATTGATGACAATTTTCATTTTTGGGTGAACTATCCCTTTAACAGTAGTGAAAAGGGAGCAACTTGTTGTTCATATTTAATATACATAATATATAATTTATAATTTTTAAAAAATAAGCAAAATAAGACAAGACACAACTCATTTTCAAATACATTAGGTTTACTTAACATTTATTTAACATCTTTTGTTGGTTAACATTAATGGCACGGATAGGCACTTAATTAGGAATGCTGTGCCTTTAAGACAGAAGGCATGCATGTAATACTGACACACGTTCAGTTTTCACCCACCTGTTTACGTTCACTTAAGCCATAACCGACTGTATTTACGTGAGATACTCTACACCAGTGTTACTCATTGCGCAGCTCGCCAAGCTTTACTTTGTGGCTTGCATGGCAGTAAATAATACGATGATATAATCATGCAGTCAATACAGATATTTCATAAAAACATTAAAAGCAAGCAGGGCTATAACATAAAACATAACCCATAAAAAAATAAAAAAAAACTCTTTAAACTCTAAAAACTCTTCCATGTCTAAACCGGACGCGAGTGGCGCGATCCGACAAAAGACAATAGAACCCAGTGATGTTGTCAACACTGGATGCGGCGTGGCACGATGTGACATGATCCCCATCAGTAAACTGATCCCTCGTTCTATTTATGACGAACTCTACTGACACTACGTTCAGATGATTTGCAACTGTCGCTTTGTTGCGTCAAGTGTAGACAGACTTTTAGAGCAGCGGGGCGAAGCATGACAACTGTCGCGTGCGGTGCAGACACGGTCAGACAGTGTCATGCTCTATTACAAATAATTTATAAAAAAAAAAAAAAAATACCTAAAACAGCGGCATTACAAGATGGAAATATAGACTAGAAAATATATTTACACTTGCTCTGTCCTTCGTCCGTGACACTGACTCACTGCGGAGTTGCTCTTAACAGCTCTTAACGCCGAATGTGCACTTGGTTAGATACATGATGGGCTAGTATAAAAAAATAAATAACTTAAGGTATTTCCAGCATTAAGGTAATCCTGCTTTCTTTTTTAAATCCTCTTGTCTCAGTTACACATTTGACTGGTAAATGATAAAGAATGATAGCCCCTTTTGTATTGCATTGCATTGCATATCAGGGATGACAGATTGATAAAAAGACAAGCTATTTATGACTGGATGTAACTTTTGATATTTGGTGGTAAAAGTGGCTCTCCGATTGACTTTGCCCTGTTAGTGCGGCT